CAAGCGGAGGCTGAGTGGGCTGACCTGAATCCCTCTTCCCCTTCCACTCATTGGGAAGGAGCTCTGGTGGTACAGTGCTTGAGCAAAACATTGGTGAGAGGTTGGCAGTTCAAACCCACCAGCCTCACTGAGGGAGAAATATCTATCAGTCTGTTTCCATAAGGATTTTCTACAGCCTTGGAAATCCTCTAGACAGTTCTACTCTATCCTATAGGGTCTCTACAGGGTCACAGTGAATTGCAATCAACTCAATGGCAATGAGTTTTGGCTTCTTTTTACCTGATGGGAAATGAAGTGGATGCCTCAGTTCTTGCAGCCCTAGGTCAGCCCCCAGCCTACACCAAAAGCTATATGAGAATCCAAGAGCTCAAGCACACGAAGGCAAATGTGATGATGGAGAAAACTAGTGGGGCTACGTGGTTACCCTTGGGAAGGATAACAACTGCAAACCCAAGGGTACAGTGGGTGCTGGGAATGTTTCTTGATCTGGGGGCTGGTTACAATTTTAGGACCTGTGCACTTTTCTGTATGACGTTATATTTCAAAAAGAATTTTAAATAGTGACCCCACCCCTCGGCCCCCTGCCTAAATAATAAAGCCACCCTTCCCACTGGGTGCACCACAATAGGTTCCAAGCACGCAAGGCTGGTCATCTCTGGCAGCACACAGCCTCATCAGCTCAGCCTGGGAGCTGTACAGATACTATTGTTTCTTGGTAAGCCTGGGAAGCCCCACTCTAGAGCAGCAAATGAACACTACCCTCCCCACTCATGCTGTACATGAGGTGACTTTCTGAAAGGTTTTTCCACCTAAGGTCAATTTCATTTACTTACTTTTTAATTAGATTCGTTTACCATCTCTTGTAAGCCAAGGAGAGTACATACATACTACATTTAAGGGTCAACACCCCTAGACTGTTTGGAACCCTCATCCATTGCTGGTGGGAGTGTAAAATGGTACAGCCACTGTGGGAAAACTCACGAAATTGAACACAGAACTGCCATATGACCCAGCAACCCCAATCCTAGGTAAACAGAACAAAGGCAGGGATGCAAACAGCCATCTGCACACCAAAGTTCACTGCAGCCCTTTTCACAATAGCCAAAATGCAGAAACCATCCAAATGACCGTCGACAGATGAACTGGTCAACACAATACGGTCCATGCATGCAAATGGAATACTACTCAACCAGAAAGGGAAATGAAGTCCTAATGCACACCCCCACACGGATGAACCTGAAAACATCATGTTGACTGAAGTCAGTCACAAAAAGACAAATACCGCACGACCGCACTTACATGAAATAAGCAAATATAAAGAAACCAAAGATTATTAGTGGTTGCCAGGGGTGGGAGGGAGGGCCACAGGAAGAGTTTACACTTAAAGGGCACAGAGTTTATGTTAATGGTGGTAGAATGATTTGGAAAAAGATAATGGGAACAGGTGCACAACTTGAAAAACATAATCAATGCCACTGAAATTGAACACGTCAGCATTACTGAGACGGTGAATGTTATGTTTATTTTCACAACAGAAAAAAAACCTATGTGTTGGGTCTTTCCTAAAACATCTCATAGCTCACTCTTCACTGATACTACCTATGGAAGCAAACGTCTGGTGCATTCCCCAGTCTCCCCCAACTTCCCTTTCCACAATCCCTGGGTAAAAAATCTCAATCAAACGTTCAATCATTTATCAAGTCAATGGGTACAACTCAGACTATATGCAGGTCTTCTCTTGGAAAGTTTATTGTTATTTAAAAAAAAAAAAAACTCTACATTTTACATTCACCTCCCAGAACATTTACTGGTACCAGTTAATGATACTCTATAAAAAGTCCACCAGCTGCTTCAATGGCTGCACATTTTGTTGTTGTTCTTTTTACCATATTCTGGTATTAAAGTGGCTTGAACTCTTTGGGAACTGGTGTTACATAAAGTACTGAGATTTCAAATTCCCATATTAGAATGGAAATTTTAAAATAAAGAGGAAATTACTAGATAAAAGTTAAAGGCAAAAATGAAAGGTTAATAGGAGGGAAAAAAAAAAAGCAAAAATATGGTAAAAGGAAAAAAAAAAGGACCACTCTCCAACCCACAGTTTGGTTAAAAAAAGGGAAAAATGCAAGCACCCGCACCCCTACCTTGACCTCTGTATCTGAGAAAAGCCACTGAGTCCTGAGCACAGGGTCTCAAACTCAAATACAAGCCATCTGATTACAAATCAGTCCCTGGGGTCTTCCACTGGCCCCCAACTAAAGGCTTAAAAAGAAAAATTCTGTTAGGTAATTAGACATCCATAAATACAGGTATCCAGCTGAATGAAAGCATCCTGGCTTAGGCATGGCTACAGAAATCTACCCAGAAATTGTTCGAAAGGACACTAGCTTAAGGAGAGTGCTGGGGAGAGGCGCACAGAAACCTCGCACCAGAGGTCAAACCAATATTGGGGTCTGTTCATAGCGAACGCTTGAGGCAAAGGTAATACTTGAAGCAAAAGTCCCTTAAAAAACACAAGTTCTCGAGCAACCTTTTTCAAAGCATAAACTGCAGGAAAAAAGCTTGAATCTGGGGATTCCTCTGGTGGCCTGGGATCTAGTGAAAGACTAAGACCTTCAGGAACGGAAACTGGCCCCTGGGGCTAAAAGCCCTCTTCTCAGTCTATAGAATCTCAAGAGTCTGTTTCCGCTCCTTTTATAGTTGGCTTCTGTTCATTCACTACCAAAAGGGCTTCCTCTGACCCTGGTCACCAAAGAAGCCTGCAAGGGAGGCTAGGATGCTGGTTTTTCATCTCCATGGTGACTAAAATAAGACAGGAATCTTCTGGGATTCAAAGTATAATTTCCTATGCTCAGTCTCAAGTCCACTTCCCATTGTCCACATCTCCCTGAGACCATGATTAGAGAAAGATACTAAAAAGAGTTGTGAGGACACCGAGGACCAGGTGAAGGCTGTGAAGGGTGGAGACCAAGTCTAAGCACGGCCTCAAATACCCTCAGACGTCATGGGAAACAGACGGCTGAAGTGCACACACCCTGGTCTCAAATACACAGTGACAGCACTAAAGCACAGGGGCCACCAGACAAGGCAAGAAGGAAAGGCACCTTGTTGCTGCTCCGAGGCTGATCTTCCCAGTGGTTGTATCAACACAACTTTTGCCAATAAAAACAAGTTTTGGTAGACTATTCAGAAGAAAGATGGTCACTAAAAATAAAACTAAAAACTAACACCCCCCCCAAGGCAAAACATACTTACTATATTTAAATAAATTTCCATCACAGGATACTAGCTGATAACCTATAGCTACCTGCTATCGCTGGATGTCACACACACCAGAATGATGACTCAAAGAGAGAAGTCCTCCCTTACAACAAAGGTGTCAAAAAGAAACCAAGAGTGGAGCCCAGTTCACCATGGACTTGGCTCCCTGTCGTAAACATCATCATGAGGGCTGGAGAGCACAGAAGAAACAGAGAACACCCAGGCAACTTTCGATAAACAGCATCCTTTATCCTGTTTTCTAAATAAGATGACGATATCAGGGGGGAAAAATAGAGAGAAAATGGAATACAAATTAAAACAAAAAATCTGTATAAATCTTCACACTGAGTCAGTGAGGTCTGGTCTCTGTTGAAGCCAGGGCACAGAAGGGGACTGACTTGAGATCACAGCTCCTCAACCTGCTCAGGGGGGTGTGCACTGAGGACAACACAAGGAGAACCACTGGAGGCCAAAGAAGTGCTTGCAGCGACTTCCTAGGCTGTGGCAGGTCTACTGATGCCCAGAGACAGATGCTAACAAAGTGCGCTGAGCCCTGGTTCCTCAAAGCTCCCAAGAGGGCAGCCAGAGTAGATAAAAACTCATTGCACAGTGAGCCATCTCTCCACGTTTGGGAATGACGGAAGGGGCCAAGCACGGAAGGGGGCCCTTGTATCCGGATTCATTACAAAGTGTATACACTTTGTGGCGGCCATGGCAGAGCAGCTTTCCTTCTCTTCAACCTGGGCCTGAGCTCCTGGGAGGCCGTGAGCGCCGAGCACCTGCCAACAAAGCGCCATGGGTCTGGAGTGGCCAACGGGCAGCCACACCACCAGCAACAGGAGGGAAACTTGGACTGTGCGGAGCAAGAGTCTGCAGGGTACTGACTGCTGCACTGTCACTCTCCCCTCCCTGCCTACAACAGATAAACCCCAATATCAGCCTGTGGCATCTCCTACCTCATCTACTCGGGAACAGGGGAGAGAAACGAAAGACAAATTAAAACCTCAGAAACGGCCACTTCTTGGTTGCAGCCTGAGCTAGGGCAAATGTGTTCAAATAAGCTGCCACATTAGAGAACACTGACAACATGCTACCTTGAGCACATTATGAATATGAACTCTTCCCTCTTCCCAACCCCACTGACTGCAGTACCCCACCTCCAGGCAAGCCTTCCCGCCGTTCAGCCACTGGAATGGGTGGCACGCGTCAGATGTTACGCGAGGCATTTATTTCTCTGAGAAGGTGGAGCATCAGAAGGGTTCATCTCCTCCTGCTGGGACCTCTGCCCCCAGCTTCTGAGGAAACAGGGCATTGGGCTTGACACGGGAAGCAGTTATGTGACCCACTAATCAGATTCCCAACCGAAAACACACTGCAGACAGTGCCTCTTTCTGCTGTTCATGGTGCAAAGACCCGAAGGCGATTAAAAAAGAGCTTTCCCTTGAAACGCAGAGGAGGTAAAAAAAAAAAAAAAGTTAAAAGACAAAATTCGAGCAAAAAGTAAAGAAATAAAGGGACAGTGAATCAAACCCCACTACTCTCGAATGTGAAACAGTCCTACGGCGACTGATGTCTGGAAGTCAGGACAAGAGCGACACTGAGGTGGAAGTAGCCGGCCTCAAAAGTCCCTTCCAGAACGCTCAACAGCATTCTCCGTTGTCCAAGGCTGAGCAGCTGTTTCCAGTAAGTTAGGTAAAATTTTTCTATTAAGAGGAAAACAAAACAAAAATAAAAACCACTCCAGAATAGGGCTCAAAGGAAGAACGCTGCTGAAAGTCAAGCCGCTGACCGCCGGCGGATCACGAAGAGTCCGCGCTGGAGCTGGCCCAAGTAGATCCGCATCTTGGTGCTGTCGCTGGTCTTCCTCACCCAGATCTGCAGGGAGGAGGAGAAAAGGAGCAGTTTTCAGAGCAGCACAGTGTGTGCGTGCATTACGTGGGGGCTGAAACCTCTTCCTGGAAAGACCCTCTCAGCTGGCGAGGCCTCCTCAAGCATCAGCCCCACTGTGGGCCACCCTAACGCACGTCGTGCACAGAGAGGGCACCCTCTCCTCAGAACTCATTGCTCCCACTCATCTCGCTTACCCCTCCCAGTCAGGAAACGGAATACAGACACCTTGGGCCCCACCCTTGCCTTATGTCAAGGACTCTGACTGGTTTGATCAAAACATTATCAACATTCCAGATACATACACTCATGAACGTAACCCTTGAATCAGACTAGGAAACATTTTCCTTCTCCCAAGGGACTACCGTATTACACAGCCTTTCAAGGCGCTAGTTTCCTGGCAATTAAAGCTAACGGTGGTAACAGAAAAAAGGAGGAAGAAAACAGCAACAACCTAAAAGGTGCTTCTGAATGAGTAACAATCATGAGACGGTTGAGCCATTTCAGACAGTCCTTCCCACCTGCCCCTACAATTCTCCCACAGATGGTAGCAGATTTCTTGCACTTCACAGGGCAGGTGTATTCTTCCGTGGAACTAAGAATGAACTCTAGCTGCGGGGGGCCTGCCAGCGCTGATGGCCGCATTCAGCAAGTGGCATCCCTGCAGGTAGGGATGGGAGGACGGCGCCTGACATACGTAAGCGAGGGCTGACTGAGCTCTCACTGTCGCCAGACGCTTTGCTGCTTGCACGTAGCTCGCTCATCCCCAGAACAGCCTTGTGAAGCACACACTACTATCATCCCCATTCCACAGAAAAGGAGACTGAAGCTCAGCCCGGGCGAGACATTGTCCAGATATGAATCCTGGCACCTGGCATCAAAGGCCCTTCTCTGCCCCATTCAACCAGCCTGTCTCTCTCAGCCCATCTCTGCACCATGTGTTAACTAGAGTCATGTACACAGTTTTAATAGCTGTGTACCTCACCCCCACACACAGGTACAATTCTGCAGAGGTATCTCCTATGTCCCCAGCTAGGTTTTCTGGTCATAAAAAAGCTTATTTTCAGTTTCTTTAATGTTAATTATTTAGCAAAAGATTTTCAAATCAAATGTGCTGGTTTAAAAGTTTTCAAAGTTCAAAACCTCATGTAAAGCTAAACCTCCAAAGGATGTGGCAACCATGTTAAAGGAAGGGTGAGGCCACGGAGGGTTCATCTGGCTGTTCCCGCCCACTCAGCGCAACCCCCTGAATATGTCCACCGTTAAGTCATACAGAGGCCCAACGACTCCAGTGTCACTTAGGATGTGACCTGGAAAATGAGCTGGGAGTCTGTTCTCAGAGATGTCTCCCAAGTCCAAGACTCCACACCTCCAGTGCCCTGAGGCATCTCCCCTCTAAGAGACGTTGTCTCAATGTCACCGTTTCCTTGTCAGACCACCCTGACACTGCATTAGGTCAAAAAGTGACAATCTTCAACAGAGAGGGTAGAAAAAAATCTAACTTGCACTCCTTTTTTCCAGAAAAGTTCTGAGGTGTCACAAAGGAGAAAGGTGTGCTGGTTGTGAAGTGAAGGCCAGGTAGACAGAGGCCACACCTGCTCTGCAGAGCACCCACAGGGCCAGGCATACTTGGCTCCATCGACCAAGCACGATGCCTCTTGGCTGAGGACCACGGGCCTCTACCAGAGCCCCTGGACTGGTGGTCACTGAGCTGGAGTGACTTACATAGCTCCTGAGCCCCTGGGAAGAGTGACCTTCATGTATGTGGCAGGCTCTCCCTAACTTGTGAGTAAACAATCATTTTGCAAACTAGTCACATTTAAGGATAGTTTCAATTCAGGAAGCTGGGAGAATAAAAGAGGCTTAAGTTATTTCATAATCCAGTTTCATTAGATTGACTGTGCCCTGGCACAAATAGTTACAGAGAGCAGACACCTGAAAATCAACTGCTCAGCAGACAGCTGTGGGCCGATAAAAGATCAAGCCGAGCCAGCTATTAAAACGTTTTCTTAACTGCTTACAATACAAGGTGCACACTGCTGGCGTCCTCCTAACGAAGGGCCGGTCGAGGACTCCCAGGTCACCAGAGCCTCGAGTGCGGCCCTCCGAGCTGACTTTTGAACAAATCCCCTCCCACGGCAGTGACTGTGGAGCCCAATACCTATGGGTACAAGCCTGGCGGTGTGGTGGTCAGAGGCACAATGGGACAGGCCGGACTGCAGGGAGCAAGCAAGGGGAGAGTTGTAGGCCGGATCAAGCAGGATGGAGATCCAAAGCCAGCACCCAGTCACAGAGCCCTTTCTCTGGGCACAAGTCAGTGATCTACTCAATGGAAGGGCAAATTCTGCCCTTAGTTTTGGTCATTCACACAACAAAAACTCATTAAGCACTTACTGTGTGCCACTGACTACCATGGATATTGGGGACAGAGAGTGAACAAAGCTACCAGGTTTCTGCGACCACAGAGCTTCCCATATAGCGGGGATGAGGGACATTAAATGTCTCCACTCAGGCAAGTGCTCCTGAGGCAAACATCAAAGTGTCACAATGTGCACCAGGGCGGCCAGCGTTGCCTGGACAGTCAGGAAAGCTGCTTCGAGTGGCACGGACAAGACAGATCCTGGGCCAGACATCTTCAAGTGCCTCATTTAATCCTCACAGCAAGAAATCAACCTATTAGTACATATGAAAGTTCTGCAGAAGCAGCAAACCAAAGACGGTGTGTGCACCATATGCAAGCTCCACCCTCAGGGGATGGTGACCTTACAAAGAAAACGAGCTTGCGTGCAGACATCACACACACTTCCCTTTCAGTCTTTCCTGAGTCGATCTCAATGGTTCCCAAATCAATGACTACAGAGAGTTTACAAACACAAGGAACACACAAATTCACATACACTGCAGTTAAACAACAGGAGGGACTTTTAACTACGTGTGATTTTGCCTGCAAGTGCTGACCTCCAAATATAAGAATGAGTCCACTGTACTTTCCTGGTGACATTTTCAGGTTTGTCATATTTTAAATACTTCGCAAAGCAATGGCTTACTTTCCTAAAGGGTGAAGGAGCGTGTTCCTACCTCATTGGCGCCAACAGAGCTGATCACACAGCTGAGTTTCTGGTTGTCTTTCGACTCAAGGTAGATGGCTTGGCTCTTGTGGTACCTGCCAAAAATAAGGCACAAATAAAAACAAATGAACAAAACCCAGGCCAGTCCGGAAAGCACCTATGAATGAAGAGGCCAAGACTGAGGGTCTCCTTTCAGTTCCCCCATCCACCTCCTCCCTGCACTGCAGTGCCACCGCCAACTTCTGCAAGTTCAGAGGCAAGGCTGGGATGAAAGAGAGGAAGCCAGGGCCAAAGGCCAAATGGGAGGCAACAGCGGCCACAGGGCACAGGAGCAGCTGCTGGATTACAAGGGTTGGAAGTGCTGCTGGCAGCCCTGGCCTGGGCCGGCCCCAGTTCAGTCAAGACACCACCTCTGGATCATTCTGTTGCACAGATCTGGCCAAACAGGCCACTAATTCATACAAATTCCACCCAAACCCATCTCCCAGCGAAGCAGTGCACCTCATTATCATTTCTCGGGGGAGGAAGGCAGACTCTGTTTTGCTGGTATAATGCAATAACCCGCTGCCAGGACATCATAGCTAAAGAACGCACTTCACCCCCACAGTGCGCTTTTTCCAACCGAGGTTCGGGGACTCTATAGGCTGCTAAATAGGAGCTGGAAATTCAGCTTTCCAAGTCAGTTTACTTCTTGAAAACACTGTTCAAAGAAATCAAATCATAAATGCAATTACAACAGTGAGACTAGGTTAGACCCAAGCTTTAAAGCTGCTTTTGGCCATGAATTAGTTTGGTAAACTGGGTCAGGAGACCTTCATTATGCTAAATACGTAACATCACAAAGGTCTGAACTGTAGGATGCCAGGGGAAAGGCTGAATTAGTTCACAGCCACAATTTAACTCTGACACTTCCTTGGTTTCCCTCCCACATCTAAGCCAATTATTCCACGTAAATAGTAACCTCCTAAGTGACAGCTAGAAGAAAAATATAGAAGGAGAACAACATATGGTTATTCTGTGGGGACTGTGAGTTATTAACAGATAAACACAAAACAAAACGCAACTGCAGTCATTCAGATGCTACTTTCCAAATACTTTAATAAAGAAAGGTCACGGGTGTAGCACTGAAGTATCTTACTACCGTGGACACATGCTCACTAAGTGTAGAAAAATAACATAACTATGTTCATTATGTTCCTGTGTTTGCAATGAAATTTATACATGTTATATGTTGTTGTTGTTGTTGTTATTATGTGCCGTCGAGTCGGACCTGACTCATAGTGACCCATCCTTGGGTTTCCGAGGCAGTATAACTACAGAAGTAGATTGCCCAACCTTCCTTCCAAGGAGTAGCTGGTGGGTTTGAACTGCCATGTGTTACATGTATCATATATATAGGTATATATATAAATTGGGCAAATTTAGAAATTAAAATATGTAAGTATATATACATAAAATATATGTTCAAATTTTATAAAATATGAAATACAAATTTAAAATATTCCTTTATTGAAATAGCTTCATTTTCTACAATAAATAGGCATACTTATGCAAAAAAAAAAAAAGTAAATAAATGCTCTCCTCTAAGTCATGGTACTGCAATGGTGGAGAGACAATTTAGAAAAGGAGCTGAGAATGGTTTCCTAAGTTGAGGAATATCATCAGTGTCAGGGAATTGAACATGTCGAACCTGGTGAACTGGTATACGTTCTGCTCTGTATACTCTCAACTACAACAAGAACCACCACAACAAAAGTCAAGGTACTAGAAAACACCCAAGGAACAAAGATGAGGTAGAAATAAAACTTAATGTCACAGACAAGTTAACTGTGGAAGACTGGTCAATCAATAATCATGGGTTCTATTTTCCTTCATACGTGCTTAGAACCCAAACCCCATCCCATTCAACTGGCTTCAAAAGTGGCCATGCGTAAACAATGTGACCTGGTCCACTGGAGTCTCCAAGGGGTCTGGGACAAGCCTCTAGCCACCTGCCAAATCTGTCTGCTCTGGCATCACCGAACAGTGTAGGCTCTAAATGTCCACCACTGATCCCATCTGTTCCCTACAGAAGAGGAGGACAGCATGCTTCCCAAATCAACCGACTTTAAACTTGATTCCCAACCTGTTATCATCAAATCAATTCTGACTCAGAGCAACCTTACAGGACACAATAAAACTGAGCCTTGGAGTTTCCAAGGCTGTAATCTGTGTAGAAGCAGACTGCCACATCTTTTTTCCCCGGGGAGCATCTGGTGGGTTGAAACCACCATCCTTCTGGTCAGCAACTGAGTGCTTAACCACTGGGCCACCAGGGCCTCCTTCCTGATCCCAGGTCCCTCCTAAACCAATGTCTCTGGGGTCTCCAGGTGTCACACAACAAACAAAGGTCTTGGGGAACCACTGTCCCTGGATATCAAATCTGTTCAATTAGTCAATTGTGTGAAAAAAAAATAAGTCTCAGAAATTACAAGCGTTCACAGTGAGGTATCTGGATGAAACCCAAAAGTATAGAACCATTTGAACTGATAAATTTATTTTTTAACTTTTAAAGACTAACTAAGTATGGGAGAAGAATTCAGAATATATTTAGATACAAAAACTGTTAAAAGCAATACCACCAGTAGAGCTCAATCAGTAGGACGGTACATTATCACTCTTCTACCAATTAACTGCTTTTGCAAGCTGCACTTCATCTCTGCAGAAAAAAACTTTTAAACAGCCTCAGAGAACAAGCCCCAAATATCAGATCGACTTTATTACTAATGGAAATTCTGACCTGGGAATCCCTATATTAAACTCTTAAAGTGCTGCCTCTATTATTAAACCCAACGAACCAGAATTCCTACTACTCTTACAAAAGAAAGCAAATTCTTTAGAAGGTGGGTCAGAAAGTGAGGAGAGAAGGGGGGAGAGTTCTTTTAACTTTGTGTCCTGCTGGGAACCTTGATAGTAACATCTCGATTCCCAAAAAATCGAATGCCATGTTCTGGCTGCAGAACCTCAAGGTGGGCTGATGCCAGCAGGAAACACCCACTGCCCTCACAGTCTTCTGTAGGCACCGAAGTGCAGGGGGTTATATCCACTTGAGCAAGTGGGTGACTTCACTCTCCATTCCCATGAGCTGTTCCAGCTTTAAGGCCAGAAGAGGGGGGGAAAAAAAAGTCCACCAGTACCACCAGATAGTAGTTTCAAAATATCAGCAACTTACACAGTATCTTCTGAGGGGGTCATTAGTACAAATCAAAATGTGAAGAAACCAGCAGATTGATAAAAATTTTTTTAAGAGCCACAGAAGACCAAAGCAAGGGAAGATGCTTATCTTTCAAAATTAAATGCACCTTGATAAGCATTCACATCAAGATGGGGAGCTTCCTTTTACTGAACTCATTTAAAACTCAAATGAAACACGTTTTGCCAGAAATACTGTTTCACCCAAACACTCCAGGCCACTGGACCCAGCATAACACATTCTTCTGACCCCTCAGCCAGGGGCCCTGACTGCTGAAAAAGAAAAAAGAAAAAGCCTCCCAAACACCAGGGATACAAAAGCCCGACCGCGAGAGCTGGCCACGACGGGAGAGGTGGGTTCTACACGGGCCGAAGTGCCAGCCAGGACTTCCGGGAACACTTTCCAATTATCATCAGTGAAGGAGGGGCCCCACCTTTCAGCAAACACCTTATGACATCTGATTGCCAAGGCCAAAGAGGAAAACAAACATACAGTGCAGAAGCAAACCAGCGATGCTCTCAAAATAGATCCAACAATGGAATAAGAAAGCTGAAATTCACAGAAAAAGCAAAATGCTTCCAGAGAACTTATTTCAAAGAACATCTGCTGTCAGTGTGGAAAGGATGGGAAAAATCCTTCCAAACGTTTCAGAGTTCTAGGCACATCAAACCTGACCACTTGCTCTGTGTAAGTTATGAAACACTAGTTACTGGGGATCCTTTCTTTCGAAAAACAAAGAGTTTTATTTTACTGCATTTCCACCCTTAAGACACGTCTCATAAAGTCTAAGGATGAAGCCTGGAAAGAGGAAGCTCTGTAGCTAGCAATTACAAAATGAAAATCATCTGAACTATCATTCGGCTTTCAGACTCACAGATCCGTAAAAATGTTGTGATAAATCTCATTCTCAGAGCTGGTTCTTATGTGTGGGCTCAATCTTTAAAGGTTATTTGGTTTTCTTTATTAGAGACGTTTTTCATCTTATTTTGCTCTCAGTGTGTTAAGCTGTTAGGGCCTGCCACCTAGTGGTGACAGGTTCTGAAATGCAACGTTAGGCTCTAACACTAGACTGAGCCTTTAAAGAATGCCAAAGAACAGCCAAAGCAGAAGGGCCGAAGTCACTCAAGTCAGGCTCACAGACACAGCAAGCCTTCACTCTCTCCTAGGTAACCAACTCACACAGCAAGCAAACAGGTGGAACTGATTTACTGCCGTCCTTAGTAGACCTGCAGGCATTTTTGCCAACTTCAGAACTTAAGTACTGAAGAGTAACCAACACACACAGTGCTGGCTGGCTTAGTCCAAAGATAAGATGGACCACAAGGAGCTCAGCCTTCATGACTCCGAGACCAGAAGAATTAGATGGTGCCCGGCTGCCAATGCCAACCACTTAGAAAGGGACCAAAACTGAAGATGCTAGAGAGAGTGGGAGGAAAAATGTGGAACAAAATTCAAAACCACAAAAATGATGAGAATTACTGGTCAGAGAGACTGGTGTAACCCCCAAGACTATGACCCTGGGTTACCCTTCAGTCCTAGAAATGGACTCACTTCCATGGATTGGCTCTCAACCCAACAGTAGAAAAACCTCCATGCAGAACACCCACCCCAGTGTGATGCACCCACCTACTCTAGGGAGATGCACCCCTTAGATCAGCTATGAGACACCAGAGCAGCAGCATCCACAGAGGGAAAGCTGGACAGACAGGAATGCAGAGATAAGGGCAAAGGGAGGGGGTCGCAGGAAGGGGTGGGGAGGAGAGGAGTTTTTTTATGGTTAGGGATGATAATCAGGGCCATGAAATCAAATGTGCATGAACTGTTGAATGTCCAACACATCTGCTTTGTAAGTTTGCACCCAAAGCACAATAAAAATAAGTAAGAATTTAGAGCTCAAAAAAAGAAAAAGAAAAAAAAAAAAGATACTCAAAATACCCATTACCCTAATTTAGAAACTTCCAGCTAAATAAAGATACTGAAACTCTAAGGATCATGATATAGTCATCAGCAATGCTAATTACAGAGACCACACAGCAAAATCAGTGTCAGAGCAGGCAGGTGAAAAAGCAAACGAGCACACATCCACTGTGACTTAAACTGTTCAAGAGTATGGCTGCACACGGACAAAGGAAAAGAAAGAAACGCATGAGGATTCAAAGAGCTGTGCAAAGGTGGCAGGCCCCGGGGGACTTTACACTGAGCAGAAAGAAGGCCTAGGACAGAGTAGACAGTAGTCACTGAATGAACAGATGTCTGAGCTTTCAAGGCTCTTTCATACAGTTCTGCTACTTCCTCTGCAATGAAATTATGCTGATGGTCTCAAGTCTTCAATCCAAACTAGTGATGTTGTAGGAGACAGTCAGCGTGATGACACATGGGGGATGGCCAAGAAAAAAACCCAGAAACATCTTAGAAATTCACAGTGCATGTAACAGGACCCAGCCTCCTCAAATGGAAGAAATCCGTTTACCTTAATGCAAGCAGCCCTTGATGCTTAATTGACTTAATTGACCATGAAATCCATTTTTCTGCAGAACACCCATCAACGCAGGGCCAGAGTAAGAGGCAGAGGGGGTTACACTCCTCAGATCCCAGTCCATGGAGCACCACAGAAGATGGGTGCCAGTTCTAGAGCAATGCCAGGAGCAAGGAGTAGAGGGGGCTGCTCACGCAGGCCGGGCCACTGTCACCTGACCACATTTTGGGGAAACACTGCTCTCAGCCCTCTAACGGTGACAGTGATCAAATGCTTCCCGATATGCTATGACACCCCATGCCTCTTAGGACTGTCTGAGTTCAGCCGCAGTCACGGTCTGAAACAACCACCAGGGCCAGCTCCAGCCCTCTTTCCAGATGGTTCTCTGGAGACGCTTACGAGTAGCCCATGTTTTTCCAGAACATACCATCTTTTGTCATAGTACAGTTTGCCATCTTCTATCCGAGCTTCAAATCTCTGGGCTGGAGACTCTGCAGGTGTGGCGGGCAAGTGTTCAGGAGAGGATGGGGACGCTGGAGGAACAAGAGGCATTCAGTGTGAGTCCACCCGTCAATGTGCTCTACTGTAATGCTCTTAGGAGGCGGTAAAAATCATGACGACCAGCATAAGCCCTTACAGTTGGAAGGGAAGGGAATTCAACGTATTCTTCTATGTTCTACGTAACTCGATTCTCAAAACCTGTGAGGTAGGTGACGCCCAGGAAGGCCAAGAGATTTGCACAAGGTCACTTAGAACTAAAATCCTGGTGACCATCAGAAGCTCAAAGGGCAACTGTTATATAAATCTCTTTAAATTTCTAATAGTGAAATCATTTCTAGAAAGAGCTATCACCAAGTAGGCCAGGCTTTGAGGCATATACAGAACCAAGCTAATAGTGGTGCTAATAGCTACAGTGGGTTCAAACAGCCTAAATTCACAAGCTTACTCACATCACCCCCTCCCCATCATGTCTTCAGGAGCTCAGGAGACTGTGGACCTCACCATGGTGACCCTCATGAGGAAATTAGAGAAAGAAGAATCTTGTTTCTCTTCCACAAGACTCAGTGAATAGCAGGATGTGTGAGTAATCACAGTGCTTTAAAAAAAAAAAAAAATTACCAATTCCAAATCCTATTTTGTGACCTCACGTTGACTCTCAAATCCTGCTCTGGAAGGAGGCGACCATGCTGAGCCCAGACTTGGAGCCACCTGAGTTTCCCCTACCAGAGCCAGGCCACAAAGAACTACTAGGATAGCCAGCACCGAACTCCAGAAAGTAAGGAACACTGAAAAATCCTCCTAGCTCCTTTCCCCAAAATGAGGAGCACTTAAAATCATCTGTCTGATGCCTACACAGATGGAAACCAGCACCAGCCAGTCCATCAAATCAAACATCTTGTTTACAATAAAGTCTGAGGAAAACAAAGAATAACTTTAACATAGTGATGGTGAAAAAAAAAAAAAAAAAAAGAGGCACTTAAGGACCTCTTCAGTTGTCATGACTACTCTTAGGCAGATGACAAACATTTCCGCTTTGGAAACTGCAACAATCCCCTGCCAGGTATCTGCATGCTTTTCCAACAACGTGGTATGAAGACAGCAAAAGTGCCGACGGCATCATGCACTTACCTGGTCTCTTGGGTGACTTAAGCTGTAGGAAGAATAACAAAAAATCTTAGAGAAAATCATTTCAGGTGCAACGCTAAGGTGTCAAAGAGATGTCATGAGTTAACAAGTGACATGAAAACAAAGTGAAGCAGGTAACCGTGTCACACCTAAGCCTTCCACCACCCAATCAAGAAATGCAGGTGTACCTTGTTTAATGTTCTCAGATCCTCCATGATCTGTTCATCTGTTAGCAAGTAGTTTAGCTGGGGTGCTGGGAGTTAAAGGAATGGATCCGAAAATTGCATTTCCAAACAAACAGAAATGGACAACAAGGAACCACTCTTCCAGGGCTGGGAAGGTGTGACTCTGCTAAACGATGCTTTTACAAAAAACAGGTCACTTCTTGGAAATCTGTGGTTCTCCCACTAAATGGGTGACCCCCAGTATATAAAGAATTCATACCTCCCACCTTACATGAGACAGTGGCAGGAGATGCACTTGGTGACCGCACTAACACAGAGAGCACAGGAAACCGTCAACTAAAAATTTCTTCCTGATTTTATAAGACAGTTTGTTCCAAAGATCTGAAGCTGGTCACAAGCACGTGGGGTTAATCGTTTCGAACAACCCAGAATCCTCAGGGCTGAAGAGGCGGGACCTGAAGCCAGGCCCTGGCCTGTCGTCATCAGGTGTGTCCGGGGCCAGACAAGCACCCGAACCATTGTGGGCCACTAGCTGTTAGGTCCGCTAGAAGGGGACAAGCAATGCGTGTATCCTGACCCTCTGCCATCTGTGATTAAAGGCCATCTTTATGTCTGACTCAAATCTCACTTGCTTTAAATGAAGCACAGTTGGCAACCCACTATTTTAGGGATACAGATTAACTGAGGTACACAAAGGGTGCTTACTGCCCCCATTTCACAGGTATATGACGTTGCCAGCTGTCCCTGAACTCTGAAGCACCGTTCAAACCAGGATGAGCTGCCAACACCAGATACCTTTCCAAGTAAACGCCTCCCACTAAAAGCAGTAGCAGCTGAGGACTTCAGTGATAAAGGGCCAACACCACCCCACAGGGTAAGTCCTTTACACACGCTCTCTAAAAGCAGTAGCAGGCGAGGACTTCAGTGATAAAGGGCCAACACCACCCCACAGGGTAAGTCCTTTACACATGCTCTCTAATTAAGGACTACCTTTCTGCAGGACAAAGCTGTGTATGTTCCACCCTGTAGCTAAGAAAGACTCGGGAAGGTTAAAGTCTTAAAGGCAAGGGACTTGAGCTTGGCGCCAATGGATATCAGGAGCAGGTTTTCTCCTCTTGTCCGGGATGGGGACAGGATCATTTGGTCGCCTCCGCAACTTTCTGGTCATGATGGGTTTCACTTCCATAGAATCTGTGAGAAGAATGGAATGGGTACATCAATCCAACTCCACTTGAAATCAGGAAGAATGTCCATCATTCTAAGAATGTCTATCCCACAGCCATCCAACACATTATTCTAGTGGGAACGTTTAGTCCACAGCTGACCCTGGCCTGGCACCCACATCAGACACAGGAGTCTGTCTTGGAAGATTCGGCTCCTGGCCTGGGTGCCCCAATCCTGTGACTGCAGCCTCCAGTGTAACTTTATAGCTGCCACTGGCATCTCCCCAGCAACCCCCCAGAAACAAGGGGATTTTCCTCCTCTTCCTTTAATTTAAGAGACCCCAGAGTCGTCAGCTCTCGGTATTAGTAGGCACTGGAGAGCTGTCTTGCCTGACCGATTCCTGCTGTTCCCAGAGGGCAGGTGAACCGAAGCCTACTGTATAAAAGGCTTTCCGTGCCAGAATTTTTATTTACAAACTTGAATTCCTCCTTTTTTCTTTTATAACCTTGAATATAAGTCACTTGAATATCAAGGACACCATAATGAAGCCCTGTAATAAAGGCCGCTTCCACCCTTCCCTGCAGCCTAACACTGTCCCCGATGCCCACACCTGAAAATCGCTCCTCCTCAGGCTGCTGCCACCCAAGGCTCTCCTGACCTGCCTCTCGGGGCTCTTTCTGCCGGCCTGCTCCCTACATCCTGCTGTTCTCTGGGGTCCAGGCAACCTCAGCCTGTATCCTGGTGAATCCCAGCCCACCAAAGCCAGCTCCACCCACCCTTCTGAATGGCAACCTGTACCTGGTGACACCGGCACTCTACAAATTCCAAATGGACTCCGCTCTCCTGATTCACCTGCCGTGTCTGCCTCTTCTCCACGTCTCAGGGCATTGCATCAGTCCATGCTTCCAAGTGAAAACAAAAGCCACGGTCTGTGACTTGTCTTCCTTCACCCGGGCATGGACTTCACTAGATGATACCAGTTTTGCCTTCTCCCTACCTTTCAATTCCATCCCGCCATCATCTCTGCACTAAACCACCCTAGCAGCCTTCATGGCCTCTCTGACTCATGTTTCCTACCATCTACAGTCCATCCTCCTCATCTTCCGAGTGATCTTCGTAAAACACATCGGACTTTTGCCCATCACTCCTCTTATGAACAATTTCTATGACTCACCACGCTCTACAGAATAAAGCCCAAAGTCCTTGGAATGGCACACAGGCCCCTCACGATCTAGGCCGAGCCTTGTCTCTGGCCTTCCTCACTCTTGTTCATTCACACTTAAGCCTGTGTGCGAACTCTGAGCTTTCTGTAGCTCAAAAACCCTGCTTGTTCGTGCCTCCAGGTCTCTGCACAAGCTGTCCCCTCTACCAAACCTCCTTTTTTCTGTCTGGCAAACTCCTACACAACTTCCTTGGAGAGGAACCCTCCACCTCCTCCTGTGACAGCTTCCACAGACAGCCAGTCCACTTCCCTAGTAGCTGGAGCATTTGTACCAATCCTTACTGTACCAGTCACCACATGCTAGACATTTACCCCACCAGTTGTTGTTATTTGCCATCGAGTCAGCCTGACTCATAGCGACCCCTCCTTGGGTTTCCGAGGCAGTATCACTACGGAAGTAGGATTGCCTAACCTTCCTTCCGAGGAGTGGCTGGTGGGTTTGAACCGCCAGCCTTCTGGTTAGCAGTCAAGTGCCTTAGGCACTATGCTACCAGAGCTCCTTCCCCATCAGTAGCAATAAAAAATGTCTTGGGGACAACCCCACTTCACTCAAAATCCAGACCACCTCTTCCATTCTCCTTCCACAACTCTCGTGTGCAAGCTCTCTCCCTCGCCTTGACTTTCGAGTCTCTGGGAAACTTACTGCTCCTGCCAGAGTACAGCCACACACACCCCCAGACCAAGAGAAACAGACCTGGCAAGTCTGGACCTTTATGTGGGAGGCCCCCATCCCAACACACCTTACAGTGGTGAAGACACAGAACCTGTATCAGCCTTTTAACTATCAGACATTTCCTGAGGGCACAGACCTCCTCTGTTAGCTTACTGTTGTGTATCACTTAGTATTATGTGTATCCACAGTATTTATGCATAAACCAACAGCAAGGAGATAGAATGGGTGGTAACAAGAACACACTTGGAATCAGACAAATTCTGGCTTAACCACTGACTCACTGAAGGGCTTTGAGCAAATGGCTTCACTTCCATGAAACTGCTCTGCTCTCTGTAAAGCGGGAATAATGACATGCAAGTCAAAGGGAGAAGTAGGAGCTAAATGAGGCTACAATCTTCCATCCTCAAGTGCTTACTCCGTGTGCCAGCCACTTTTACAAGTAATCATTTAACCTTCACACTAACCCCCTAGAGCAGGTTCCATCACGTCCAAATGAAAACAAAAAACCACGTCATTGAACTAAGTTAGTGACAGGGCCAGGATTCCTCCTGGTCTGTTGGCTCGCAAAGTTAGCACAATCATTCTTACATAAATCCTGGCTGGATCGATTCAAGTGCTCAGGAAACAGGGCTTCTGTTTTGGTATCACAATTCCTCACGACTCCAGCTATGAACCCCGTGTCTTATAAAGGAAACCCACGGGCTTTACAGGGTCACAAGTAGCATCCTCAGAGGCTTAAGGGTTAGATGACGCTCCTAGGGAGGCAAGAGCTTCTGAGAGAAAATGAAGTGGCAGTCAGTGGCTGTTAGAAGACAAGAAGAAAAGGAGGTGCCGAAAGACAGGAAGAGGAAACTGAAAAGGGGACCGTCCTCCACAGGTGAAAGCTCAGTAAGTTCTCTGCAAGGGTCTGACTCCAGAGACCTGCACCTCAAAGGTGGCGAAGACTCACCCCCATCAAACCACACCTAGAACCTCACGGCCCCACGTGTGGTCTGTGCACTTAGCGTCAGCACCACTGGGTCCTATGAGAAGTGCAGGACCTCAGGCTCCACCCCAGACTTCCTGGAAAAGAATCTACATGTTATCTAGACCCACACACGACAGTTCATGCAGGACTGACCTAACCCTATCCAGGTTCTCACCTCCACTACACCTGTCCACCTGCACAGCCCAGGTCGAAGTTCTCCCGAAGACTCTGGATGGTAAAGAGAATAGTGGCTAAAGCACTTGACTGCTAACCAGAAGGCTGGAGGTTCAAACCCACCAGCCACTCCTCAGAAGGAAGGTTAGGCAATCCTACTTCCGTAGTGATACTGCCTCGGAAACCCAAGGAGGGGTCGCTATGAGTCAGGGCTGACTCCACGGCACATAACAACAACAACTACATCCCAGGGAGGTATGTAAATGCTTTAGGGTTCAGACAGAGCAGGTGACCAGACACGCCCATTCCCAACAGGTTACTGGACCAGGTTCCTTTTCAGCCTTTGTGGTAGTTAAATTTGTATGTCAACTTGGCTGGGCCTGGCTGAGTGGCTGGGCAGCTGGTGGTAGTTATTCCCCATGATGAGACTGGCAATTAACTCCATGGTGGGATCTACCACAAGCAGCTGAGTAGCTGCCTTTGGGTATGTGGTCTGCTTCCTGTATATAAGGAGAAGCCTTGGGGATAGTCTCTAGCTTATGGCACGCTTGGACCCTGCATGTAGCCATGTCGTTGTTCAGCAGCCTGCCATGCTCTGCTGACCTTGGGACTTATAATGGACTTAAATTAACAGCCTGCCATGTGGTTTGGTAACATCGAGACTGTGCCTTTTTACTTGTCAACCTTGGGCTTGGCAGCCTCAGCAGCCAGCAGCTGTCTGAGTGAAAACGCCTCTGGCTCCAGTGGGCTGGGAGCAGGAGGCAGAGCTAGATTCCAAGGTCGAGGGGCTTTCACCCACCCCTAGGGCCTGGCACTTTGAACTTGGACTTAAAGCCTCCAAGCTGTAAGAGAATAAACTCCTGTTTGTTAAGGCCATCCCATTTGTGATATGTTTCCTGTCAGAGTGGCACCAGGGAACCAGAACACTCTTAGTCCATTTTGTTTGAAAGACATCTCCATGCTGAGCCAGAAGAGGAGGTGTCAGGAAATAGCTTCTCTGGGCAGAGCTAAACTCGATGCTGTCCAGTTGATTCCAACTCACAGAGTTTCCAAAGTTATAATCTTTATGGAAGCAGACTGCCTCATCTTTCTCCTGAGGAATGGCTGGTGGGTTTGAACCACTGACCTTCCAGTTAGCAGCTGGAACACTTACCAATGCACCACCAGGGCTCCTTGGAAGAACGAAGTACAGTGATACTGGGCATCAATGCACAAAGGTGAAATTAGTCACTCAATTAAAGGAATGAAATCAGCCCTTTAATCCAACACCATAGCAGCACCATCTGTGGAAATGATAATTATCCTTCCAGCTTTCCACAGTCTCATTACCTTGGCAGTGCTTTCCACACCAAGGGTACCAAATGGCTGGAGGAAGGACATCAGTACCTTTAATGCCCATGGCTAGCTTTAACCATGTCTGTAATCTATTTTATTGCATTGCTAATGATTTCCCTGCATTTATTTGTCTTCTCCACCCTGTCAGGCTCAGCCTCCAGTCACCGAGGATGCCTCTGGTTCCAGTAAAGATTCTGGCTATTAACGCTGCCTGGCCAACAGTGCCTCTTGCTCATCAGTAAGTGGGCTGCCAAATCCCAGGTAAGGTGATGGGACCCTTCCCTGCAGACGGACAGGGAGTGGCAACAATTCAACAGTCCTTCCCACTTGCCTAATGAAGGCTCACGACCACCGGGTAGCTCCTGCAGAGTGCGCTCAGGCATCGACCCACGGCCACCATCACAGCAATCAGCGTGCAGGTCAGCAGACAGGCCGGCGGACTGGTGGCAGACAACAGTGCTGTCAGCCATTACAGAAGCATTTCAACAAGATAAAACCGGCCTGTCTGCAGATGCGGGAAACCTCCCAGAGCCCCTTTCGGGGGCCTGTGAGGAACTCCGTCCTTTTCCCAAGTCTCTCAATGAGGAAGCTATTGGGGGAGATTTGTTTCAAAACAACCTGACCCACACCTCTACCTCGAGCACATTCTACCTTGTGGAACACAGGGAGTGGAGCCAGAAGTGTGTGACACTTGGAGGACAAGCTGGTGCATGGCATTACCGCTCTTAAGTTGCTTTTAGGTTCAAAGTCAGGCCCAAGGACCAATGTAAAAGCACACTATTTCCTATGGAACCCAGCTATTATCTGCCAGGCCAGAGCCCCATGACCTTTGAACATGATTGTAAAAGTTACATTTGGGGGTGTGCAGAGAGGGCAAGCCACTTATATAAGTGAGCAGCAAACTCACTGGTAACTTGTCTGGCAGTACTTGCAAGTGGAAATTCTCCCAAGTTCCAAACCAGCTAATTCGAGCCAATTCCTGCCCTGTATTCTGTATCCATATGACAATGGAAGAGTCAGGCCATACTACTTCGCCTTTAAAGTTGCCTACAACATGCCAGGTGCCCCCCCGTGGTTTACTGAATCCTAGGAGGGACTGGCTCTGAGTCCAACACAATTTTATTGCCTTCAGAGGGAAACAAATTTAGCTCCTCCTGCTGGAATCTTATCAGCTCTTTCTGAGATGTTCACAGGATTCCAGGATGAGGGGGTCCAAGAGCATAGATGATACAAGCAAAAGCTGCCTTTTCAAATCTAGCTCTCAGGAAGACAACTTCTTTTCTGTGATTTAGGTAGACTGAAGAAAACAAAACAAAAAATACCAAACCACATTCCCATCACCACAAATGGACTTGGGCAACTCAGGAACATAACCAAGATATGAATGAATGGCAGTTGACCCAGGAGTTAAGTGTGATCCTGAATTTGCTGTGACTATTAAAGGTCTAAGAGCTCTGGTAGCATAGTACCTCTGGCACTTGACTGCTAACCAGAAGGCTGGCGGTTCAAACCCACCAGCCACTCCTCGGAAGGAAGGTTGGGCAATCCTACTTCTGTAGTGATACTGCCTCGGAAACCCAAGGAGGGGTCGCTATGAGTCGGGGCTGACTCGACCGCAAATAACAACAACAACATTAAAGGTCTACCAGTTATTGATTATCTGTTATGTAGACAGCACTGTTCAAGGTGCTTGTTTCCAATCACAAGCCTGTGAGATGGAGTGTCATTAGCTCCATTCTGTAGAGGGGGAAATAGGCTCAGAGAGGTTAGTGGCTTGACAAGGTCACACAGCCAATACAAGGGACTCTGCTGTGTACTGCCAAGGCCCACTCTCCTTTCACCTTGCTAGTTACAAGGTGCACCCTCCGGGGCTCCGCAGGTCCTGCCCCCCGTGCTATAGTACCTCCAGTCAGTTCCATTGTGAGCTTCTCATTTTCAATCATCTTCTTCTTTTCTTCTAGCTCAGCAATCAAGTTCTCTTTCAGCTCAACCTTTTTGTCTTCAAATTCTTTCACTGCTGCCTTCTTCTCTTTAATGTAGTTTTTCTCCACCTGTTCTGTCTAAACAAAGAGAAGCACAGGCTGGGGTACATGGCAGGCCCTGAGAGCCAGGTCCAACCTGAAGCCTGGCTCTTGCAGTCAAGACTAAACGTGCCCTCTCCTAGGCACATCAGTGACACAGGTTTCCTCATGACACACCTGCAGGGACAGGCTGTCTGGGGGCAAGCTTCCAACGGGTGCAGAAAATCGAGCCCTAAGACTTGCTAGTTTGTAAGATACCACCCTCATGGCTCAGGAATTTCCTCACATGCAGATCTTAGATTTCATGACTTTTACAGTAGAACAGAACTTGAGTTTCTCAAAGATGGTAAAAATAGCACCTTCCAGATGAAGCATCAATATTCAAAATTTCAAGATCCTGCGCCAGGACAGCAAGAGTTATCATTATTTTTGATGCTTAACATTTTCAAATGCTTATAGTGAGATAAAGAGCAAGGAGCCCTGGTGGTGCGATGGGAAAGTGCTCGGGGGCTCACCAGAAAGTTCAAACCCACCAGCCGCTCTGCAGGAGAAAAGACCCGGGATCTGCTCCCACGAAGATCACAGCCTGGGAACCCTGTGGGGGCGGTCCACTCTGCCCTCCAGGGTCATTGGGAGTCAGCATCAGCCCAACGGCAGTGGGACAGAGCATATACTAGGTGCCTGAACTCCACAGCAGTCAAATGTGGAAATTACAGGAACATAGAAACTGCATACGCATGCACTTTTTCAAATGGATGACTGCACTAAGCACAGAACAGGAGGGCTGACGTTGGGCAACGGACACGGCCCATGTGGTCCTTCGGGCTGAAGGTGACTGCGTGCTCTGAACTGACTCCAGTACTAAAACAGTCTCCAATAATGTGTCTGATAAACCATTCTCTTCTCAAAAAGGACCACCCAGCACACACTAACCCCTCAGAAGCAGGACACTCTTCCAGATCCAGGCACTCATCTTTATATCCCTAGCACCAGGCCTGGCACAGAGCTGGCCCTCAGATTTTTGCTGAATAATAAAAGGGAAAATTTGAGACCTCTTTCCTACTAGCACAATTCAGAGACTCGGCTGCTTTAAGGGCCAATGCAGCAGATGCCTAGGCCACTGGAATTCAGATGTGCTCCCCAATGCCTTACACATGACGCCAAAGTCACCAAGGAGGCAGCAGCTGGGACAGACGCAGGCTGCCCAGCCAACAACTGAAGAGATGGAGCTTCTCTATGGAACCCAAATGCCCTTCCACCCAACAGAGCAGTGACAGAGGCTGCCAGCTGGGGGGTGCTAGAAGGAGACGTCACCACTTGGGAAGAGCAGCAGTGCAGTCTCAGAAAGAGCCTGCAAACCCCGAAGATCCAGGTACTTACTTCCAGCTGGAGGAAGAGTTCTGAAAGAGAGAAAACGGGCAATTAGACTCACTAGGTGGTGTCACCTTTCCAGTGACGAGGCGATTCATTCTGCAGCACTGATTATTTTCTGAAAGCTCAGTTACACAGAGCAAATGTTTTCAGCAGCAAACTGTTGATACGCTTGAAGTACTCATGTCTACTTCAGATCTGGCCCCAGACGAAACCAGCCCAGCAGTTCTGCCCAAGGGCAAAAACAAATAGCAGGAGCCAAACTATCTTCCCAAAAAACCAAAACCCCACTGCCATGGAGGCAATCCCGACTCCTAATGCACAGAAAGGAGCTGTGGTGGCACAGCGCCTAAGGTGCTTGACTGCTAACCAGAAGGCTGGCAGCTCAAACCCACCAGCCACGCCTTGGAAAGAAGATGGGGCAATCCACTTCTGCAGTGATGTTGTTGTTGTTATGTGCCGTCAAGTTGGCCCCGACTCATAGCGACCCCTCCTTGGGTTTCCGAGGCAGTATCACTACAGAAGTAGGATTGCCCAACCTTCCTTCCGAAGAGTGGCTGGTGGGTTTGAACCGCCAGCCGACTGGTTAGCAGGCAAGTGTCTTAGCCACCATGCTACCAGAGCAGTGATACCACCTCAGAAACCCAAGAAGTGTTCGCTGAGTCGGATCCAACTCGATGGCAGTGAGATTTCTTTTTTTTTTTTTTTTAATGGACAGAGAGGAACTGCCCTGTGGGGTTTCTAAGGCTGTCATCTTTATGAAGCAGACTGCCTCATCTTTCTACCACAGAGCAGCTGGTGGGTTGGAACAGCCAGTTTTTCGGTTAACAGTCAAGTGCTTAACCACTGTGCCATCAGGGCTCCTGCAAACCTTGGCAGGATGAAACAAAAATTTTCCCTTCTTTCATACGGTCCATTCCTTCCAACAGCCCTACCCAAAGGGGCAGGACGTGTCAGAAAGTGATGCCATCACTCCCGAAGCCCAGGAGATACTGAGGTTATCCTAGGAAGGCTCTGTGGTGAAGAAGGGGCACCTTAAGAAACCAGAGCACAGAATCCAGTGCCTCCTGAGGCTGGACTCCCAGGTCACTCAAACAGCTCGCCTGACTGTCTCTCCTACCACATCCCAGTTGCCGATGGAAGGCAGCCTCCTCCCTGGAGCCATTCCTGACCGCCCATCCTTCCTCGACCCTCTCAGACACCTTTGAGCCTCCACTCAGAAGTATGCAGCCACTTATTAAGCACCTACTGTGTGCCAGGCAATTAGTACTGCAGCTGTTCCCTCAGCAGCTCCCCCCCCCAGGTTACATAAGCCCCTCGAAAAACCTAAAGCGCCCTGGTGGCACAGTAGTCAAGCACTCAGCTGCTACCAAAAGGAGGTCGGCAATTTGACCCCATCACCACTCCATTGGTGAAAGATGTGGCAACCTACTTCTGTAAAAATGTATAGCCTTGGAAGAAACCCTATGATGTACAGCCTTGGAAACCCTACGGGGCAGCTCTACTCCATTCGACACATGCCAGGCATGAATACGGTCACCATGACTTGGAACTGACTCAACAGCAAAGAGTTTTTCCCTATAAACCCAGTAGCTGGGACACAATTGGGCCATGGTTCCTAATTTATTCTGGGTGACAATAGGGTTACTGCACAAGGTCCACAAAGATTGCTAAGTACTGCACAACTCCACAAGGTGCTGGTCACATTTTACCATGGCCCCTTTGCAAATCCAATCAATCCTATGGGTTCATTCCCCAGAAAATCACAGAGGCATGTTCATACAAAATATTTTGTAGCATTTCAATGGTTCCAGAGACCCCAGGTTAAACACCCATGTGCTCAATTAACAACTGCTGAATGCAAAGGTACACTGATGAAGGGGACAAGCTACTCACTGTTTCCCAAGCCCTGGAAGGCCTGGGTACGATTAATCTGCCTGGCCACGTGGCACTGGGAACCACCAGGCCTAAGAGCCCAAGCGCACCCAGACCAACGTGCACCCACTGTGACTGCCTCTGACCCATGACAGGTATGAACGGGCCCAACTTGAAGTCCTGCCCCATTCCAAGCAATCACACCTGCACTGGCAAGTCAAGATGACAATTAGCATTTAGAGTTGGCAGTGGTTGTTTTAGCTAAAGCAGCCAGACATCAAACATAACCAAAGCAGGTGGACTGACCTCTGGACAGATGGGCTTTTTAAGCCCCAGTGTGGCTGATTTCAGAGCCTCTTGTGCAATTTTTCTACAGGGAGGGGAGGAGAAGCATGTATGCAAGAGTATGTTGAGGACAGGACTGAGAAAGTGACAGTGGGATTAAGGAAAGTAATTCAATACCCACTTGGCAGCTCAAACTTAAGAAAAATGGCCCACATCAATCTTCATTTTTTATTTACATCTTAAACTAATTCTATGAGGTCTTATTCCCATCTAGAGATGGGGAGACTGAGAAGGTTCCAAGAGGTTAAGCACCCTCCTTAAAGATACAGGGGAGTTCTGGTGGTGTAGTGCCTAAGGCATCTGACTGCTAACCAGAAGGCTGGTGGTTCAAACCCAAAAGCCACTCCTCAGAAGGAAGATTGGGCAATCTTAGTGCTGTAGAGATACCGCCTCGGAGACCCAAGGAGGGGTCAGTATGAGTCGGAAACAACTTGACGTCAGAGAGTTTGGTTTGTTTGGTTTAAAGATACAGACCTAGATGGAGACAGACCCTTTCATTAGGTTTCCACCTTGTTAGCATCTTCCTTCTCCTGCTAACGGGCAACTCGAGGAAAAGGGCTGAGGGTTTCAATGATGTCCCAAGGAGGTACCTGAGCACCCTGGAGTGGAGTGGGGGGGGGGAGGGCAGGCCAGAGGTGGATGGGTCGAAGGCCAACCACTGTAGCTCTGCTTTCCCTGTGCCCCCACCCTCCCACTTGTATCTGTTGGTGGTCACTAGGGGACAGAAGGAAGGACTCCATCGACAGAAATTTGGACAATCACTGGGTCATAAGAGAGAAGACAGCACCTTGGAAGGACACCCAGACCTCCACTCAGACCGCATTCTAAAAGCCACTTGCAACACTACAGAAAGGTTCACTAATTCTACTTGCAACACTACAGAAAGGATCACTCTGCTGGCACTCAAAACGCTAGTCAACATGACTCAACATTTAACATGCACACAAGACTTCCTGTATGCGCTGGAGGCCATCTGGACACACCTGCATGATTCTGTATCTGACTCAGATGGTTCCTACCTCTCTACGTGCATTCATCTTTAGTCAACGAGACAGCAAGTTTCTTAAAGGCCAGGACCACATGCTTCATGACTTTGTCTTGCCCTTAACTTAAGACACAGCAAACGTTGTGTCCTCATTGAAAATACATTTATCACGCACAACCAAGCAAAAGCACACTCTCTTTCTCCAGATGCTTATGACGAAATCCTTGGGGTAACTACCAATGACTCCTCCCCACAGAGACCAGAATACCAGACAAAACAAACTTAAATACAAGTGAAAACATAAACTCCTTTTCTAGGACAGCACTTCTGACTGTCCACTGAGCCAGCCAGGCTGATGCGAGAGAAGGTCAAGGCTACCCTGGGGGCATCGCGGAGTACAACCTGACTGCAAGGAACCCCCTCTGATGCCCTTGACTACTGGGGCAGTCTTTGGCAAATGGATAAAAAAGATGGAACCAGTTTTTTGTAGGTGCAGCTTCGGGGTTTCCCTTCCCTGATACCCTAGCCCAAGGGGATATTTGGAATTCGTTTTGGACAACAGATCTTAGGGACATGTTACGTCAATAACCAACACAAGGGGGAAGATTGGAAGATAATTTGCTTCCATTTAAGATGCAGCCTCACCTGCGTTTCGTATCCTCTCTTTGTACTGCTGGTCTAGTTTCTTCATTCTCTTCTGATACTCCTGTAATGTACCTGATTTCAAGCATTCACAAAAGAAAAAGACAAAGTTATTCTGAAGACCAACCTGCTCTGGATTTTGTTTCCTAAAATTTTTTTCCCACATCAACAGTTACTGTCTCAGTGACAACAAAGGAAGCACAAGCCAGGGACAGCCACACCCAGCAGGGCTCAGGGACGCTGGCGCTCAACCAACCACGAATGCGCGGGAGCCACCTGGGGTCTATCCGAGGTCTACCCCAATCGACTGGATTAAGACTCTGCAGCAAAGGGCAGAGGTGATGGGGTGCAGACACCCCAAATGATTCTGGTATTTAGTTAAGTGTAAGAGCCACTGGCCAAGCAGCCATCTAAGAGACAATGATTGCTCTCTACTTGTCAGGTGCAAAAGAGAAAGAAGGAAACCAACGTCTCAGAGAAGCTAGACTGCAGGACTCCCAGCCCACCTGAGCCACAGCCTCACTGACTCTGAGACCAGCAGAACTAGATGGTGCGCAGCTGCCAGTACTGACCGTTTTGACCAAGGCCACAAAACACGGACCCACAATACATGGAAAGAACAGCAGAAAAAGGTGGAATACAACTCAAGTTCTTAAGAAGGCCAGTCTCCAGTAGGACCAGTAAGACTAGAGGACTCCCTGAGATTATCACCTTGAAACATTCTTTAAACTCTGAACCAAAACTATACTGAGATCATCATTTCAGCAAAATGACAGATTGGCGCACCAAATAAAGCACAGTATCTGCAAGCACAGTGTTCCATTAAAAAAAAAAAAATCCATGAGTCCAAAAGACCAACATCTACTCTAAAGATGAGGAGGTGACAGGGAAACCAGAGTACCAGAAATGGAACAACCAGAGTGCAATTTCAGAGAATGCTGACAGACTGTGAAAAATATAAGTACTCACTGGGCAATTTGTGTAGATACTGCCAAATGGGAGCCTAATCTGCCATGCAAACTTGCACTGAAATATTATTTTAAAAAAAAAATGAAGGAAAAAGCAAGAGTCATTGGCCCTAAGTGACCTTTAAGGTATATGTTGTATAGACACTTCAATTTACAACTCTGTTTCAAGCACAGTAGGTACACACTGCTACTCTCTGCTACAGCTAGATTCAGTGAACTCCCTTCCCTGCTAAAATCTCGTTGTCCCCCAGTACGGTCTGGAGCACTGCTGTTCAAGTGACCCTTCCGTGACAATACAAACACTCTACACACTTACACTGTCCAACATGGTAGCCACTATCCCATGTGGCTGTTGAGCACCTGAAATGTGCCTAGGACCACTTAAGGAACTGAACCACTGATCTCATTTTATTTCAATAGCCACACGTGGCTGGTGGCTACAGTGGTGCCAATGCTTACCAAATCACTCAGTTCACTCCTCGTCCCCAAAGCAGCTGATCACGAGGTCCTGCTTTGGGGGTGAGGCATCCTGACCGTGTGCTCCAGCAGGGGATGTGGGCTGACTTGTGCCTCCCGCCCCCAGTGTGTGCTGGCTGGCATCCTGAACCCTGTACCTATGGATGGAGCCCCAGTGAAAATGGGTGCTGTTATGTAAATGAGATCTCAGCTGAGCTGGGTAGGGTCTAAATCTAATCACCTGTAAGTTTAGAGGGAGCAGACTACACACAGAGGTACACACACACGGGAAAAAGATGCCATATAAGCCAAGGAAACAAGGCCTGGGATCACCTATAAGGAAGCATCGACATCATGGAGACCCTGGTTTGGACTTCCAGCCTCCAGAACTGAGAGAAAACCAATCTCTGCTCTTTAAAGCCATCCACCTGGGGTATTTCTGTCACAGCAGCACCAGCTAGCTGAGATGGAGGATATGTGAAGGGCATTTTGTTCAGCATTCCTGATTCAGCCATGCCACCCAGGCCTCGCAGGCTGCCACAGCAGAATGTGGCTCTCCCTCTGACATTAATTCCTTCACCCCTGAAAGGAGGAACACAACAGCAGCAACAGCAGCGACAGATGTGCGACCACTCTCATGGGCCATTTTCACTATCAAGCAGACAGCAATGTAAGATGGGCTGGTCTGAGGGAGTGGGTCGCCCAAAGCAATCCAAGACCTAACGGAAAACCAGGGAGCCCTGGTGGACAGTGGTTAAGCACTAGGCTGCTAACCAAAAGGTCAGCAGTTCAACTCTACCAGCAGCCACTCTGTAGGAAAAAGATGAGGCAGTCTGCTCCCTTAAGGATGAAAACCTTGGAAATCCTATACTCTGTCCTATAGGGTCACTGTAAGTCAGAGCCAACTTGCCAGCAACGGGTTTTTTGGTTAATGGAAAAACAGTTTCACTGACACAAGGACCCCACGATATGAAGCCAAAGAGCAGGTGGTGGCAGTCAGCCACCCGAGTGCTCACGACATGCCCCAGTCTGCACCAGGCACCCCTCACACAGACGCTCACCTGCTCTTATTTTCTTTATTTCACAGATGAAAAAGCAGATTAAGGAAGAGGCAGTGATGTGCCCACAGTCACATTAGAAAGGAGTAGGGCTGGGATTCAAATGCCTCATGGGACTTGAGAACCTGTGCCCAGTCCCATGCTGAACTTCACCGGCAGCAAATGTCACTCACCAGGACACAGGCAGAGAACACAGTGTGGATACACCACAGCGTTAACAATGGGTTTAGAAAGAATCACAAAACTTTATTCCTTGGTAAACCGTCACTCTCCTAAAAACATCCAGCTTAGCACAGTGGTTTTCAACTCACACTCAAGAGAATGCCCCAAGACATCAAGCTCAACTGGCATAATATACTACACAAAACATTGTTCCACCTCCTATTTTGGAGAGTAGCAACTGGGATCTTAAAAGCTTGCAAGCTGCCATCTAGATGCAATGATGGTCTCTCCTCGTCCAGAGCAAAGAGGAATGAAGAAAACCAAAGATTCATGCAAATAATTAGTCCTAGTAACTGGTACACTATCTGATCTGCAGCCTATATGACTATGAGACCAGAAGAACTAGATGGTACCCAGCTACCACTGTCAACCACTTGGAAGAGGATCTATGTAGGAGCTCCTGGATAGAGAGGGAGAACAATGTGGAACAAAACTCAAAATCATTTGGAGGAAAAAAAAAAGGGGGGGGGGGGACCAGGTTTGCTGGTTCCATAGAGCCTGGTAGAACCACTGAGATTATGGCCCCCAGCTGCCCTTCAGGTCTGGAATTGAACCTACACCTGTGGCTTCCAGCCAAACAAAAGATAGGCATAGGAGTTGAACATGTACCTGAGGTAGATACACTCCTTGGAGAGAACAATCATGGGAGAAAGAAGGGCTGTTTATGCACAGGGAGACAGCTCAGGGGGCAGGAGTCCATGGAGGGATGGACACAGGGAAGAGGTAACTATGAGGAGGAAGTGGGAGGGGAGCTGTTGCATTGTGGTAAATTGTGGTCAATGTCATGAGACAAAGTGGATGTGAACTGCTGTATGGAAAGTGAATTTGCTCTGTAAATTTTCACCCGAATCACAATTAAAAAAAAAAAGAAAAAAGAAAATGCCCCAAGTGAGATTCAACTTGAAGAAAGAATTTGGTTCTTATTTATGAAAAAAAAAAAAAAGTCTGAAAATGACCCTTTACTGACAGTAGAAGACAGTACGCAAACTGGAGAACTCTTAACAGCCAGGCCTGACTCCAATCACTCCCCAGAGATGACTTCACAGGCTCCCAGGGTCTGCAACATCAAGAGGCAGGCTGAGGGACGAAAGACCAAATCATACACCAACCTTCCTGCAGTTGTTGCAGCTGCCTCTTGAGAGAAGCCAGTTTGTCCTGATACATCCTGCAGGAAAGAAAGGACGCGGTGAATGGCAAGAGCATTCGACAGTCAGTTCCCAAAGCACCCACATGCAGAAGTTACCTCCGTTGGTCCGGGACTGTCACGAACGCCCTTCGGGGAGACAGCACTACTAACGTCTGCTAGCAAATTTAAAATGTACTGAGAGGTAAAGGCGGGCCCTGGTGGCACAGTGGTTAAGTGCACAGCTGCGTGAATGGTCAACAATTCGAGCTCACCAGCTGCTCCACGGGAGAAAGGCGACAATCTGCTACCAGAAAGACTGCTGTTGTTGGCAGGTGTCATCAAGCCAGCTCCGACTCACAGCGACCCCATGTACAACAGCACGAAACGCCGCTGTCCTGCGCTGCCCTCACAGTCCTTGCTTAGCTTGAGCCCACCCCTGCAGTCACCGAGCCAACCCATCTCACTGGGGAGGGTCTTCCTCTTTTCTGCTGACCCCCTACTTTACCAAGCATGATGCCCCTCTCCAAAGACCAGTCCCCCTGATATAGCAGTGCCCAAAAAGGTTACAGCCTTGAATACCATTTGAGACAGGTCTATTCTGTACTCTTATGGTCATGATGAGTTAGGACTGACTGGATAGCAATGGGTTTTGGTTTAATAGCTACAGGGACCACAAAGGGACAAGGATTCTGTGTTTTTGAATCAACTCGATGCTGCAGGCTCATCTTTAGAGAATGCGTCCACAATCCACAAAGCTGGAGACAAAGCAGACTTTAATAAAGTAAGTGACAACAACAGAGTTAGGCAAGAAAAACAGAAAGCGTGATGCTATGTTTTCTGGATTCAGAAGTATAATGCACACACCCAAAACATAGAAATAGCATTAAACACAGCTTTTATGTCAACTTGGCAATTAGATTACATTCCAAAGGAGCAAGGTTATGCCTTCCACATGTTTTTCTTTACAGGTATCATGGCTGTGGAAGCACTAAGTCAATAAACCTTTGTCATTTTTAAAGGCATGACTCTTAGGATTAGAGAAATAACAGTAATTCAGAAACAAACGTTAAAATGCAGGAATTCATTTGCAGCCCCAGCTGGTTAAGGACACACAGAACCCACAAAGCAAAAGAAGCTGGCGTTTGACTGTGCCACTCACACCCCACGGTGACGGACCAGGCTGCCTGAACGGCAGGTGCCACACGTCTCTGCAACTCTTGTGCTTCTACCTGGAGCACAGTCCTGTTTCACGGCGACAAAAACAGGGTTTGCCACCTGAAAGAAAAGCACTGTCCAACATGTCACCCACACCCAGTAGCCTTCGCATGGCTCAGATAAAAGCTGCAAATATAAGTGAAGGGTTACAAGCCAGCTCTGGGCAGGAGGCGGAAGGAGCGGGCAGGTCGGAGAACGGGACCGGGGGCTAGTTCTTGCAGAACACGCTCGGACCCTTGATACCCATACGAGGCAGTCAGGTCTCATCAAAATCCTTTTCTAATCATCAAATATTGAAGGGACACATTCAACTGGAAGACAGCGGCTATAAAACCTGCAAGCCGTCAAGTACCAGAGGGGAAGGTGCACAGGCTGGGCCCCAAGCATTGGTCTGTGGGGCCTGGAGGATTAATTTCTCCCTTATGTGGCGAGTGCCACGCTATACTGTGAATCCTGAGACTGTCTTTGAAAAGGTCTACTGACAGACTGGAGGCGTGAATAAAAAAATTAAATATTCAGATCCATTGAGATCAAGTCCGGGAATGTGAAAAATAAACCAAAAAAGGAAACCAGCTGCCACGGAGTCAATGCCAATTCATGGCAACCCCGTGTGTCAGAGCAGAACGGCTCCTGAGGCTTTCAAGGCTGTGACCTTTTGGAAGCAGATCACCAGCCCTTCCGAGGACCTCTGGCTGGGCTCGAATTTGCCAACTCTCAGTTAGTAGTCAAGCACTGAACCATCTGCAGCACCTACGGCCTCCACACGTTAAACCAGCTACCTCCAAACACATTTCAAGATGCAGCAAGGTGAAGCAGTACAACAATGGAGGGAATAAAACAAAAAGCAGGGTTTCAGGGGTGAAACTGCGAGAACCTCAGGAACCAGAGCGGCTCCCCCTGCCGGCTGTGGGCAGACTTGAGCTGAATCACTCTCTGGGTTCCAAAGCTCAAAAAAGAAAACAGAACTCAGAGGATGGCACCAAAGCGATGGGAAACAGAACCAAGGAGGAGCGGGACGGCTCATCGCACACTCTTGGAAGCCTTCCTCCCAGCAGGCAGGAAGGCTGTGCTGTAGCCACCGCCTCCTTCTGGGCCTCGTTCGCAGCCATCCCGTTGATTCTGAGCCATGGTGGCCCTGTGTGTGCAAAAGGGGAACTGCTCCAGAGGGTTTTTTCAAGGCTGTGACCTCTGGGAGGCTGTTGATCGGGCCTGGCTTATAAGGCACCTCTGGGGGGTTTGAACCACCCGCCTTTCGGCTAGCAGGCAAGTGCTTAAGTATGTGCACCACCCAGGGTGCCGTGGATCATCTAGTTTAAAGACAGTAATAAAAAAATGTCAAATCAAGACCCTTCAAATGTTGTTGTTGTTGTCATGTGCCGTCGAGTCGGACCCGACTCATAGCAACCCCTCCTTGGGTTTCCAAGGCAGTATCACTACGAAAGTAGATTGCCCAACTGTCCTTCCGAGAAGTGGCTGGTGGGTTTGAACCGCCAGCCTTCTGGTTAGCAGTCACATGCCTTAGGCACCACGCTACTAGAGCTCCCGACCCTCCAAATACAGTCAATAAATAGTGAGTATATTTGATACTGCCTTCCACGTGTGTTTATGACGAGTAAACTCAAGCATAAAAAAGTAAACCTCTATAAATGTCTGGCTGGTCAGTGGTTAAAGCATTTGGCTACTAACCAAAAGGTCACTGGTTCAAACCCACCAGCTGCTCTGCAGGAGAAAGATGAGGCAGTGTGCTTCTGTAGAGATTTACAGCCTTGGACACCCTATGAGGCAGTTCTACTCTGTCCTCTAGGGTCACTCTTAGTCACAGCTGACCCAATGGCAGTGGTGTTGGTTTAAAACAAAATAGATATTTCATCCCTCTGGTTGTGGCTGTCTAAAGGTGATGCCACAACTGAGCTGAGGACATACGGTAACGTGAAAAGAGCATTGGACCAGGTGTCCACAGGCTTGCTTTGCAATTCTGGTTCCCCTGAGCTCCCATGTGGCCAGCCCTCTGCGGGCTCACACCTATCTGAGAGCCCAGTGGCTGTGCGACACCAGCTTACCCGCCACAGCACAGGTCTCCACGGCTAAAAAGATGAGCACGTGGTCACAGGTTCTTGTCTTGTACAGGGCCTTATCCCCGATGATGATTTCCCTCAAGCTTCTTTCTAATCTCTTCTAAGTTCAGCCTGATGACATGTGACAAGTTGATGGGAGAAAAATGCAGACAGGCACATGGCTCTTGAAACCCAAGAGTCAAGAGCATATACCAAACCAAGGAGCAAACCAGGTTCACATGGTCCACTCTGACTCACAGTGGCCTG